TTGCTTTCTTTTCTTGTTTTTTGTTTTTTTTGATCTTTTTCTTTTTTTTTTTTCCCCCTTAGTTTTTTTTTTTTTTTTTTTTTTTTTTTTTTTATATATATATATATATATATATATATATATATATTTATGCCAGATTAGTACCGTGGTAGCTAAAAGTTTCACATAAGTGACTTTTTTTTTGCAAACAGAACTTTTCTGGTTCCCTTTATTCTATATTATTGTTTTTTCCCTACAACAAATCGTTCATTGCTCTAGTACCTAATCTTTTTTAATGGCACGAAGACTCTTTGCTAGTGTAGAAAACATTTTACATTTAATATATGAAAGTTCAGATGATGGAATTGAGAATAAATATAGTGGAATTGAAAACAATATAGAAGGCGAACTTGGTATTGAATATGAAAAGGATACTGAAGATAAACCTGGTACTGAAAGTGAAAAGGATACTGAAGATGAACCTGGTATTGAACTTGAAGAGGACATTGACATTGTTAGTGAATCTGACGATGCATCTGAAAATACTAATAATTATCAACGTAGGCATCTACCTTTAATCCGCATTAAAATATACTGTGGAAAAACATTTGGAGCTTGGGAAGAATGTCAAGAGGCATTAGAACATTATGCACGTCAAAATAACTTTGTGATTAGAAAAAAGCATATAGATAATAGCCGTAATCCATGCCAGCGCACTTGGGATTGTGAACGATCTGGTAAATATGTCTCACGTAAAACTGCTCCACCTGAAAAGCAAAGAAATAAGGGTTCAAAAAGGATTGGTTGTCCTTTTTTGGTGAATGCATGCAAGAGTAAGGGCCCTAATAATGAAACTATAATTAAGTTGACATCGATGAATCTTGAACACAACTATCTGTTGGTTCCTGAAAATGCTAGTTTTGCTACTAGCTATCGAAAACTTACCACAGAAATGAAGAAACTTATTGAAAACTATGTCCTTTGTAACATTGATGTTTCATCTCAGATTCGGTTACTCTGTGGATTATTTCCTGAAGCCACAATTGTGGATTATGATGTGAAAAACTACATGTATAAGTTTCGTCGTACTCATGATATACAGGAGTGTGATACTGCAAAGCTTTTTCAGCATTTTGAAAAAGAGCGTACCAAGAACCCTGATTGGTATGTTCAATCGTTAATTGATCCAGAATTAAACAGATTACAAGGTGTATTCTATATGACTCCTGAACAATGCAAACTTTGGCGCCGTTATGCAGACATTATTTTAAACGATAATACAGTAGCAACCAACATTTATAAACTCCCATTATGCATTTTTGCTGTTATTGATAATAATTTCAAATCACAAATTGTTGCACAGACAATATTGCCTGATGAAACAAGTGAAAGTTATAGATAGGTTCTACAGCAAACAATTGAGGCTACAGGAGTTCAGCCTGGCGCTTTTATGATTGATGCAGATCCAGGGCTTGAAAGTGTTGTTCCTGAAATATACCCTGATACTTACTTACTTCATTGTATCTGGCACATTGGACATAACATTGAGAAGCAGCTTGTAAAGCTACTTGGTGATCATTATACAGACTTTATTAAAGCATTTTATCGTTCTTGAAACGTTTTATGTAAAGAAATATTTGAGAAATACTAGAAACAACTTATGATTGATTTTCCAGAATCAACTGAATATCTACTTAGACAGCTTGATCCACATAAAACAACCTGGGCAAAAGCATTTACAGGTTAAGTTTTTAGGTGGGGATAATATCTACACAACAATCTGAATCAATAAACGGCGTAATTAAATGGACTGTAAATAAAAGAACCCAACTTCACATCCTGTTTAACCGAATTGAATCATGTGTTGCAGAAGAACAATTTGCTAGTCGGTTTGCGGCTTGGCATGAAAAAACATCATTATATATGATACCAAGTGTCACTGGACGACTTTTTCCTGATATATATAATATTCTGCATAAGTATGTAATGCCCAAAATTTTACAGTTACATATTGATCAAATGAATGAGGCGGTAATGTATCATAGCAAAAAGATTAATTTTGAGGATCCATATAATTTAACATTGGAGGTTGTTGATAATGGGCCAATTGAATTTGAGTATGACTTTCGTCAGATACGTTTTAATGAACTTCTTGAGAGAATCGATCATTCCTTAGTTGCTGAGGTTTGGGAAGTTCGATTAATAGAGCATAAATCGAATGTTGGACAAAATGTAGTGCTGTTAAAAAATGGATTTTATTTATGCACATGCATCTTATTATTCAATAGCGGAGTGATCTGCCATCATTGGTTTTGTGTTCTTTTACAGTTTGAAAAAGCTTATTTTCATATTTCTCTCATTCCAAGACGTTGGTACAAAGATGAATTTATGGATGCAGTGGTTGTTGATGAGCCATTTCTTAGAAGAAAGTCATTAGAAAAGAACAGTTCAATACCATCCTTACCTTCTTTTCCAGATGTTGCTGATTCGTGGAATACTATGCTTATTGAAGCTCCCATATAAGCTGCAGCAAAAGCAATTGGCCGTAAACAATTGATTAAAGGAACATTGCTTGGGCTTGCTTGTAAATGCGTAGAAGTAGTTAATTACGATGATTTAAATGATTTAAAGACTTTGATAGAAACATTTAAGGAATAGATACACATTCATGAGGAAGCACAATGCAGCAAACGAATTATAGAATAGGAACTAGACAACAACCAAATTGTAGAAAGCGATCAAGGTACAGAGAGTAATCAGGATACAGAAAGTGATCAAGATACAGAGAATGATCAACATATAGAGAATAATCAAGATATAGAGAATGATCAAGATATTGAAACTATATAATTAGATATTCAGGACCCACTTAAATATATTGGAAAAGGGCGCCCCTCCAAAAAGTATATAAAATCAGCAATTGAAAAACCAAAAAAATGTAAACGTACTTCGTCTCGTGCTTCTCGTCAATGCAGTGTTTGTAAAAGCAAAGAACATAATAAGCGAAATTGCCCTAACAAATAGTTGATATAGCACATTATTTACTCTTGTACTGTATAATATGTAATGATCTCAAATTGATATAGCAAATTAATGCTCAAATTGAAATTTAGAATTAATAATGACTTATGAAGTATGAGAAACACCTTTCTCAATGAATTCAATAAATAATCTGATTGGTCAGTCTTATTTGATAGACCAATCAGATTCATTATTGATTTCATTAAGAAAAGTACTTGAGAACGCCCTAAAACATAGTAATTTAACATCGCTCAAGATATCTACTTTAATCTAAAATTTTAATTTATTTGGCACTAGAGTTAATAAGTCAGAACTTTAGTCGTTTCATTTGAAGATTAGAATTAGGTAGGTTAAGTAAGAGGTGACATAAGGTTAAGCTTGTACGATGCATGACTCGTCTTCTAGCAAGGTTCTTTTGCTAGGATTTTATTAGGTAAAATAGAAGTTCACAGGCCGAAGGTCTGTGAACGTATATATAGGTGCTAAATTTTTTTTTTTTTGAATAATACATGACTCATCTTCTAGCAAGGTTCTTTTGCTAGGATTTTATTAGGTAAAATAGAAGTTTGCAGGCTGAAGGTCTGCGAACATATGTATAGGTGCTAATTTTTTTTTTTTTAAACGATGCATGACTCATTTTCTAGCAAGGTTCTTTTGCTAGGATTTTATTAGGTAAAATAGAAGTTCGTAGGCCAAAGGTCTGCGAACATATGTATAGGTGCTAGTTTTTTTTTTTTTTTGAACGATACATAACTTGTCTTCTAGCAAGGTTCTTTGCTAGGATTTTATTAGGTAAAATAGAAGTTCGCAGGCCAAAGGTCTGCGAACGTATGTATAGGTGCTAATTTTTGTTTTTTGAATTTAAATCGTGCAAGACATATGTATAATGCATTTACATTAATTTAGGTAAATACTAAGAATGGCATAGTTTATTTTGTGTTAAGGCTATATGTAAAATAATTTAGTTCTTTTTTTTTTATTTAGATCATTCATTGCCATATAAAATTTAAACTCCAAACGTTTTTAAAAGATTAGGGTAAGTACTAACGTAGCTTATTCTTTCATTGTTAGTATTGAGACGAAAATAATTTTATTTTAACAACCTGAATTTTTTTTTATTAAACATGGTTAGATTATGCAAAGCCATATCAAATTTACCTTTTCCAAGTGCTCCCATTTGCAGGGTAGAATTAGGGTAAGTTTCTTATTTAATGTTAGAATTAGGCTTAAGCATTAAGTGGTGCTGTTCACTTGCAGACAATTACTTTGTAGACATCTTATTTCACCAAAAAGTTTACTTTTACAGATCTTTCAGTGAAATAACCTATTTATGAAACAAACATATCTATGAATTAATTGTCTGTAAAGTAATCTTGTTTAAATTAATTGTCGGTAAAAATAGGTTAAGTGATGGTGAAATTATGGATTTGGGTTAAAAAAACTGTAGATTTAATTTTTTTTTTTATACATATTTTACGCATTTATTGAGCATAGATTTTGCAAGACTGTATGGAGTTTGATTTCCTCAAATATTCGGGTTTAAAGGTTGAAATTAGAGTAAGTATTCATATACTTTTTTTTTTGTATCTGAATTTTAGGCATAAATAATTTTTTTAATTTAGATTGTGCAAGGTTGCATTAAACTTAACTTTTCTAGATATTCTTTTTTGGAGCTTAGAATTAGCATTGTTAATTGTGTGCTTTAAATATTAAGAAGTTAGTTATAGTATTTGTATTTAGTAAAATTGATAAATATTGTAGTTATTTAGAGTGTGATATTTAACAGTGACACGTAATTATTTATTTTATATACATGATATATTTTCTGACAAATAAAAAATTAGTGATATATAAGCTGTTGTCACATATGTGACAAATAACTTAGTCCTAAATAAAATATGTTATTAATTATAATTTGAATGATGTTTACTATTAGTTGTACATATTAATTGTGATGCGGATACGTGTACCATCGGGTATATATATACTGGGTTGGTTAAAAGTCCCTAAACAGGTTTCTTTTTTTGCTAACTCCACTAATATTAAACATTACTTAAAATTTTATATACTTAAGTGAAAAGCTTTCAGATAGGATCTTTCTGTTAATCACTAAATGACATATTGCAGATATAATGCAGATTTATAAAAAAACTTTTATTTATTAGTATATATTATTAGCTAAAGTAGCAAGTTTAGGAACTTTTAACCAACCCGGCATAATTCTATTAAACTATATTGTACCCTAAATTGATATCTGAGTATATATTTTTAGTTTTGTAATCTATTTAATTAATGCCTGATCAATATCTGGTTGATGTTTGATTTTGTCCAAATGTATGCTGATTTGTACCATAAATCGGCATCAATCGGGCTGTTAAATTTAAAAATTGGCAACAATCAGGTAGTTATCAGTTTTAAATATAGCATACCTGATTTGTACCTGATTTGCCAGCTTTTGACTAGTGATACCAATAGGGAGTACTATAAAAGGAGCAGTAGCCTAATTTGGTGGTGTACAATGTGAATACCTGGAACTATGCAAACAGCTTTCCTAATGGTGGCAACAGGTGGCTTGAGATACAAATCTTCGGATAGTGGCAACACCTGGCTTGAGATACGAATTAGGATTTGAAGTAACATCTCAAGAGACACCAAACTAGAAGCAAGAAGAGTGCTCACTCCTAGAACACCAATTTGGAAGTTATACAAGAAACAAATTAGGAGTAATGTAATAAGTGATAAGGGGTGGATTATAACTAGTAGATGTTATACAGTAGTATATATAGCGAGGTATATACGAATTAGTAAAAATATTAAAGTTTTGAGTTAGGTCAGAACTTAGGGTGCTTCTTGATAGAGGTACTCAAGGATGTCCATCTCACATGTGAGATAGTGCAGACGGTTGTATCTGGGTGCCATATAGGGTAGCCAGGTGAGGTTATAATGACTACTTAAATAGGTTAAAAGTATATGTAAATATATATAATATTTGCTTAAATAAGTAATAAAAGTTAATGACAAAATCGTCAAAGTTTAAAAAAAAAAAAAAAAAAAAAATATTACATGAACTTAAGCTAATTTAATATCTAAAATTTTTCTCAATTTTATTGACTAAGCCAAATTGATATATACAAAGTTATGCAAACTAATATATGAAAAAAATTGCTAATTATAATATAGTATAATATATCTATATCATACAAATTACAAATATCTATATTAAGGTTAATCAATTGTAATTGTATAATATGTTTTTATTTTTAAATACTTCCTTCTATTAATAGCACAAATATAATCTAAGTAAAAACATTTTAAACTATATAATTTTTTTACAAGTATGTTTATTTTTTGTTATCTTTTTGTATTAAACAAATCTTCTTTAAAATTTTCTTTGGAACTTCAAAATGCAACCTTTTTAAGATTATTTTTTTACAACTTTCAAAAAATAGAAAACTAAAAAAAAAAACAAATAGCTTCTTTCTTTACAATATGGAACTTTTATATATCAATTATAAAAGTTAAAAATTTAGAATAACCTAATATAAATATTATAAAGAAAAAGCACAAGCTACTATTAATGTTTTTGAAATAAAACAATTTCAAAATACTTAGCTATTGCATTCTTCAGAAGCTAGACATTATCTAATTAAAGTAACAAAAAAAAGTTTCTGAAAAAAGCTAGATTTATCTAATTTCTAAAAAAAACTTTCTTTATAAAAAGAAGTTTTTAAGAAAAGCTATTTTTGTTTCTAAATAGAAGCTTTATTTTGCTTAATCTGTATAGCAAAGAAGTTCTAAAAAAAGCTAGTTTTTAAAAGAGGCTTTGTAAAAAGAAGTTTTATAAAAAGCTATTAATATAGTATTACTAGAAAATTTTTTTATCTTTAAATATTTAATTATTAAAACTAGTAAAGAATAAATTAGCTAAAAGAAACCAAATTTACAAAATAAAAGATTTTCAAAAAATCAATTTTTATATTATAAACCTTGTAATAAATTATAAGAAAATACAAACTTCAAAGAGTAATATAGCAAAATTTTATTAATACAACACAACTACTTTGTGTCTTAAATAAGAAATAATTATAATCTTATTTTAAATTAATTTATATAAAAAAATTAACAATTTGATTTCTTTTTTTAGTACTTAACCCAAATATAAAAAAAAAATCAAACTATATATTTAAAAAAAAAAACTTCTAAAATTCAATGAACTATAAAGCCTAATTAATAACTTAATACTATTAATACTATAGCTAAAATTTTACAAAATTCAAAGCCTAATATAAAGCAAACTAATAATACTACTAATATTATATCTATAAAAGATTATAATATTTAAAAACTCATTGATATAATTAATGATAATATTTATAATACTATTTATTAAAAGAATACTATTAATTTTTAGTTTGTAAAGAGATAATAAGAATAGATAAATAGAATTGTCTTAGCTTATTTTAATAAACAACTAAAATCTTTAAATTTATTATATTTAAAAAAAAACATGATTAGAGCAAACAATTTTAATATTTTATAGTATTACCAACTAAATAAACAAGCAATAGTTTTTTAGCTCACCTTATATTTGTATTTTAATTTTGAAAATAATGTAATATTAGATATATATGATTATAATTTATTAGCATTAATAATTATTAGTATATATATTATACAAATTTTTTATTAAAAAAAATATATAATATTTAATTTAGAAAGTTTAAATACAAAGTATCAAATATAAAAATAATTTTAATATTGATTTTGTTATTACAGCTATTCAAAGTTCTTTATACTTTGAAGTTAACTAGCTTCTTTTTTATTTATTT